CGAATTTTTTAAATTCGAAGTCAAATTAACGTCGAATTTTTTAAATTTGACGTCAAATTAACATCAAATTTTTTAAATATACGACATTAACTTAAAATCGAATTTTGTTAATATACGATGTTAATCGGTTTTTTTTAATTAATTATGATCCTTTTTTACAATTCTACGAGACCTCAAAAGCAGAAAAACAATAAATTTCAGTTTTTGGTATTTTATAAAGCAAGAACTATGAAGGTAGTATCAGCAACAAACAACAATAACCAACAACAAACAAGTTCAAACAACAACAACAAACAAGTTCAATCAAACAACAACAAATAAGTTCAACAAAAAAAACAAAAACAAGTTCAACAAATAACTTCTTCACAACGAAAACGAAAACTAACCTTCGAAATGTGAGTTTGTCGTAATAAAGTGTCGTCATCGATGACAGAGAAAGCAGAAGGCACCTATAAAGAACAAAAACACGAAAATAATCGGTCAAAACAAACGAAAATCATAAATAAAATGCATTTGTATCAAATGAAAGAAAGATTACATGTGATGGTCGTCAAACTTCGTTTGAGAAAAGTTTGAGAAGAGAAGAAGGTTTCACGCGCTAAGATAAAGTTAATGAATTTTCAATTTTCCACTCAATTTTGTATTGAATTCACAAACCTTTTGACGTCTAACGTTGGGGCATTCGACGTTTTATATCCTTTTACGTCGAATTACAATTTTAAACGACGTTTAATAATTGCATTTATTTACAAAAATGGCACTAGTCATTTTTAACATTGGCTATTTAGTGGTTAGACGTTAAACGCATGACGTTATACGTTGTTTTTTATAATAGTGTGCTAAGGGGTGTGACCCATTAGGCCGTTGTAAACGGAGAGAACGAGGATGAGAGGTTTTCCGGTAAGGCAGCGAAGGGCGGTAGAGGGCGATGGGGCTGAGGTGGAAGGCAGGGTGGAGGTACTGGCCTTGGGGATGGAGGCCGAGGTGAAGAGATGGAGGAGGGTTGTTAGTCATGGTATTTTCACTTGAATTTCAGAGTTTTAATTTCTAACGTGGCATGAAACGTGGCTAACAACGTGGCACACCATCAGCCAATTCACCGAAAATTTAATGTTGTTGATTTTGGAGGACTAAATATTATTGTTTCCTTAAGGAGAATGATCAAAGTGAAGCAAAGTTCGAAAGAGGGACAAAACCCAAAATCTCTTGATAGTTGAGGGATGAAAAGCATATTTAACCCTTTATGTTTTATTAGATTTCGAAATTTAGTGAAAAAAAATTTCTTCTTCAGATTTTGAAATTTAATGAATGATTTCTCAATACTTCATCGAATTTCGAAATTCGTTAAAGTTTTTTAAAAATTATTCAAATTTCAAAGTTCGACAAAATCTTTTATTAAATTTTAAAATTTGATAAAAGAATATATATATCATTTTTAAGGTTATTTTCGGAAAATGAAAATATAAAATAAAATTATTTGAAGTACAAGGTGAAGTATAATGTGAACGCCTGGTACGGGTTGGGGATTTTGGGCCCATTTAATTCCAATGTTATTAAAAACAACGGGTGCAGGTTGAAAAAATGGGGTGCAGGTTGAAAGACCCATGATAAGACGTGTTATGGGCTTAGAATTATATTTTAGTCGATGTAATGCATAATATAATTTTTATGTTAAATAAATATTTCTGTGTATAAATTATATTTTATATTTTTTATAAATAATTTATGTTGTAATACAAGATTATTTTATATTGTTTATATTTCTATTAAAAATCATTTAAATTTGGTTCAGAAATTAAAATAAAAAATTAATTGAAAGAGAAAAGATATTAAGAAAAATCACTACCAACACTGCAAATTTCTGAAAACGATTCTGGAGAAGAAAACTCTTAAAAACAATTTTAATGAATAATAAAATTTTAAATAATTCATATTTTAAGATAATTATTCTACGTTATACATAAAAAATATTTATGACAATAAGACAAGATATTGGGTTAGTCAATTTGTCAAAAGTAACTCTCTCGTTGATTTTCTCCACTCGGATTCAAAATTTTATTTTATCATAGATATTATTAAAAAACAAAATCAAAATCGTTTTAAAAAACAGACCATTTCTTAAAAGGAAAATAATATATATATATAGGGTTAGAAATTGTAGACTGAAGAGAAAAAGTTCTTAAAAGATTGAGTTTTGGAAAGACTATACGTTTTAGATAATGAAACTTTTAATAGAAAATTCTATTTTTATTTTTTATTAAAATAACTTAGTACCAATATTTAAAACACTTTAAAAATAACTTAATACCATTATTTAAATACCACATTTAATATGAGGCTCTTATATTTTGAGATTTAAAATATTTAATGTTAAAAAAATTTAGACTTTTATTTAGACATTTAAAACAATTAGTACTAACATATATTTTTTCATTTTTTTTAAATCTAGGACTTTATCATGTAAAATTAAAAAAAAAAAGTGTTTCGATGTTTGAATAGAGAATGTATCATCCTAATTATTCCCTTATTAAAAATTAAATTCTTGTTTCAACAAAACTAGCATTTTAGCTTTTACACTGGACAAAAGAAAATTATTTTTGTTTAATTAAAACCTCTTACAATAAAATAATTTTGATTATATAAATTATACTTTAAAACAAAATTCATAATTTTAAATTATATTTCATATAAATTAAATTTCTATATCAAAATTATTTTAACTATTTATAATTATTGTAAAATATATTAAAATTAAATTTAAAAATAATGGAATAAGATAAAATATTAAAAAAATAAAAACTCTTTTTTTAGAAAAACTCTCTCTCTCTCTCTCTCTCTCTCTCTCTCTCTCTCTCTCTCTCTCTCTC